TTCCTCTCTCCCATTTATAGTGACTGAATTTGTATTTTTATTTGAGAAAAAATCAGTCAAAAAATTGTTAATTCTTGCTTTTGGCTAATACTTTTGATATTTGCAGGGTATCTGCGCACCTGGAAAGTCATGAATTTTGGTATTGAACAAAATTTATCATGAAATGTCATGATTTTAACATTTTTTTTTTTAAATCATGGATTTAGGTCGCTGAAAAATCTAATTTTTAAAATGGAATCCCCCCCCCCCATTTCATGTTGTTCCGAATATCTGAATTTGTAACAAAATCCCCATTTCAAAAAAGCTTTTTCTATTTAGGATTAAAAATATTTGTGTTTTCTTTTAGTATTGCAACAAAATCCCCACTCACAGTCATATTTTATTAAAATATAAAATGTTTTTATCGTGTTCTTTAAAAAATATGGTGTTTTTTCAAAAAAATTAAGGAAAAAACATCATTTCTTGAACGAATTAACTTTTGAACTTCTGTGATTTCAGATTTTTTTTCTTTCTTTTTATCAATTTAAAATTCTTGCTGAAGCAAGCCAGTCATTGGCGAATTTTTTTTATTCCGAAATGAGAACAGAAAAGTCAGGAGTATTTCTTTCCTTTCCAATGAACAAGAAAAGTATCTTTCGAATATAATTCTTCAGAAAAAAAGATTAAAAAAATATTTGTTTTTGTATTTTTTTCAGCTATTTTATTGCGTCAACTCTTTCTTTACTCTGTTTTTTAAATTTAAAATCCATAAATATGAAGATGCAAATTATAACAGTTTTGGTTATACCTATCATTTCAATTATTGTTATTATAATGATTTTTTAAATTTATTGTTGTGTTTTTGTTGGAGAAAATAGTAGCTTCGTTAAGTCATGAAAAATTCTTGAAATTAGTCATGAAAAGGCATGAATTTGAAAATCTAAATTGTAGCAGATATCCTGTATTTGACTTATTTGCTGGCTAATAATTTGAAATCCTTAGCGTGGGCCTTGAATATGTTATGCAAACTTTTGCATGGCACCATTGAGCTTTACTCATCATTTGCTTTATTTTTTTAATTGCTCATTTTTAGTTTCTCCGTATTTTTTTTTATATTTATTTATTTTTATTAACTAGCAGATTTTTCTTTATCGTGTTTCGCTTTCTGTTATCCTTAAAATTTATTATAAATGTAATCAAGGAATCGTGTAGTTCTCTTTTCATCTTCCGCTTGTCACTCATCGCTATTCATTCTCCACACAGTGCAATCTCCTGTTCACCAAAACGGAAAAATGGAACTTAAAAAGATAAAAATCATTCCGATACCTTCTTCACTAACTCATCTCATGACAAATGCTGATTTCTCGGTGATATACTTTTTTTCTTTTCCTATTGAAATTCGTTCTTGTTCTTTCTTATTCAATGAACGTGAGCCCAACATGCGCCTGTTTTTTTTGTTCTGGTCTGCTGATTATGCACCCAGTGAACCGTTATTCAAAATTATCAGCTACTCGGCGCAGAACAAACGAGAGGTTCGCTTCTTGCTCGTTCAACCCTTTTGACTCCATTCCAGTAAATAGTTTTCCTCTATTTCCGTTTATGTGACGCATAATGATTTTCCCATTTATTGGCTTTTGCGAAATCCTGCTCATTTTATTCGTGCAGTTACAACAGGGGCGAAGCCCGACTGCTGGTTTATTGTTTACCATTGTCATTTTGAATTGGCTGTCGGGTGTATAATTACGTCATTCGTTGGTGGAAACGTCGCTTTTCGAGTTGTTTCTTTGGTCTGTCATTATATTACCTTTTAGGTCATTGTATGATTGATATATTTTCGTCTGACACTGTTGCTCTTGGAGTAAAAATGTGAATTTTTGATTTATTCAGGAGTGAAACAATGCGATCAGGAAGAAAAAAAAAATGCTGTTGCTTATCATCGAACTTGTGACCCGTTTAAGCTGTAATAAATGCCTCTTGAAGAATTATTATTATTTTACTGTATTTAAAATTTTAAGAGACTTTTAAGTTAACATTTCTGACCCCCACATTTTTTCTCCATTAAATTTAGTTAGTAATACTGTTTGGTTTTGAAATCATAATATAACTTACACGTGTGACATTAAACTCTATAATTCCACAAATCTTAAACTTTCAATTATTTTTACACCCTTTGAATCTGTCTTTGTCGTATGAATACAATACCCCTTGCAATCTACTGTTATCAATTTGGAAGAATGTACAGTTTTTTTGAATTATTGAAATATTTTCCGTTTGCCACAAATTTTTATTCCTTTCTCCTTAAATTACTTGACTAATTGTGACTAATAATAAGTTTAATAATAATTGTCTAGTGATAAATTAACGTGAAACTGAAAAAGAATAGCTATAACTTTTCAATTGGGTACTTGCACTTCAAGAAGAAAACCTCCCTTACCCACACATGTGACCTATGACATCAGCGCCTGCTAATCCAATGGCGTATTAAAGTTGAGCTTAGTTTCTCTACATAAGTTTAGAATGTTAATTAACGATAAATTAATGAAATACAGAGCCGTATCGCACATAGAATTAGTTGAAATATAATTCTTTCTCGTCTAATTTCTTTTACTTAACTTAGATTTATTATTTGCTTATGTATTTTATTATAACAGTGATATATTTTTTTTATGTATCTGGCAACTTCCATGCATTATTAGTTTGTTTATGTTCCGCGTGGCTTCATGGCTCTCTTTGTGTTAAGTCTCTTCGTAAATATAGAGAGAAAGAATTGAAATCTTTGTGAAAGTATTTAGAATGAGTCACTTAAGAGAATTGATATTTGACGGGCTTGGCTTACTCGAAATAGAATGGAAAGAACAGATGCTAACGTAAACCAATGCCACGTTTCAACAACCAATTTTTGACGCGTGTTATGTCAAAAAACAATTTTCGATATCTAAAACACAACTCCTGCATTAAATCCAAATAATAAAACAAATAGATCTGAAACATCACAACAATGAATTTTTCAAACAAAGCAGTGCATGAAATATAAAGAGTCAAGAGANAAAATATAATTCTTTATGTTCTACGTCTTTTACTTAATTTAAATTTATTATTTGCTTATGTATTTTATTCTAACCGTAATATATTTTTGTTTCGTGTACCTGGAGACTTCGATGCATAATTAGTTTGTTTATGTTCTGCATGACTTCATCCCTGTCGCTGTGTAAAGTAAGAAATGTATAGTGAAAGAATTGAAATCTTTGTGAAAGAATATAGAATGTGTCACTTAGGAGAATTGGTACTTGGTGGGTTTGGCTTACTCGAAATGGAATGAAAAGAATAGTTGCTAACGTAAACCAATGCCACGTTTCAACAACCAATTTTTGACGCGTGTTATGTCAAAAAACAATTTTCGATATCTAAAACACAACTCCTGCAGTAAATACAAACAATAAAACAAATAGATCTGAAACATCACAACAATGATTTTTCAAACAAAACACTGCATAAAATATAAAGAGTCAAAAGAAAACATGCAAAAAGTTTTTTTTATTATTAGTATTATTGTACCAAATTCCTTTTTTTTTAAATAATCAAAATATTTCCTGGAAAAGAGAAAAAATACTTACTATAGAAGCTTAATTCAGCTACGAATTATTGATAATATTTATTTAGATGGAAAAAGTAATAGAAGTTTCGTGTGGTATTTTCAACATAAGTTTTTTCATCGCGGAAGTCGGGGAAATATTACAACAATCTACCTCACGCAATCGTTCGGTTATTTTGATTTACAGTAAGAGAAAAAAAATATTTGATTTATTGCCTTTCCTTTTCAGCATTCTCTGTAGCTCGACGTTATTTTCATTTCATTTAATAGATCTTAAAGCGTTTTATAAAAAGCAAAAAATCATGAATATGGTTATTGAAAATCACTCCCCCCCCCCCAAAANCTACTTTATTCTCCCCCCCCCCCCCAAAAAAAAAAAGTTTTCTTTTCTTTTCTTCTGTAACCAATTAACATTGCAAATGCAGCTTATTGATGTAATTACTTAGTTAGATGTTGTTAATATTGGTCATTTTTTAATCCATTTTCTGTTTTGTTAAGCCTTAAATTTAATAAAATACACATGTTGTATTTTATTAAGTATGAAGCGCAAAAAAAGTAAACACCCTGAATAAATTTTGATCACGGATTTTCACGCAATATGACTCAATCTTAATGACTCGATGGACTAACCTTTAATATGCTAATTCATTGATGCAGGTGATGCTTTAAGTTGCGACATCGGGCACAAAAACGTGACTTAAAATATCGTTTGCACTAAATATTTATCATATTTAAGATTAGGAACTCGAATGATTTGAGTCCTAGTATGTGAAAATCCGATTATAAGATCCAAAGTTATTTAGGGTGTTCACTTTATTATTTTGTTCTCTGTACAAGGGAGATATCTTTGTCTAAATTAAGCAACGACGAAGTGTGCTGCTCAGTTTATTAAAACTTTTTACTATGCTTCAATATAACTCATTTTTAAAAGTTGAAATTAAATATTTTAAGCAAATTGGTTAAATATTTCCTGACATTAATGTATTAAAAATAAGTCATTATCTTACTCTGTCTACCATTTTCTTACAATTCTTTAAATAGTATTTGTTGATAACGATAAACACTGTTTTTTTTTAATTACGAATTTTCGATTACAAAAAAGTTACATAGTTTTCCTTCAGGCCCATAAAATCTCTGGATTTTTCATTAAAATTCCCCGTTTCACTAAGCCTTTCGGAAATATTGTGGCTAGTAATTCAGGGTTTTGGATTTTTTTTTGTTGAAATTTTGAGAAAATAATGTCGCCTTTCTGATTCATTTCAAAAGTTCATTACAAAATTCCTATATAAATGTGAAATTAAGCAAAAGTATATTATTTTTTTCTACTTCGAATTTGGAGTGTACCCATTGAAATAAAATTTTGATTACAATGAACATATTTACATTTATGTACCTTCACAGTTGTTTTAAATGTGTTTGTTGTTTGCAGGTTTATCATTGGCAAAGTCACCACATCAAGCATAGTGGGGTGGATGATATGGTGCTTCTCACTAAAATTACAGAACCGGCCATCGTCGACAATTTAAAGAAAAGATATCTTGATGACCAAATATTTGTATCCTGCTCATCTGATTATTGTGATGTTTTGTTATACACCCTAAATGTACGAGGGTTGTTTTTTCAGTAAGGGCAGTTTGAAAATAAGTAACAAACGAAAGAAAATTTTCAAGAAGCAAATTTATTTTCAGATTCTACATACGTTTCTCTTGTTTTCAGCATAGTTGCCGAGTTTGTTTATACTCTTATCATACCTTACAACGAGATTTAAAATACCCTCTTCATAGAAACTTGCCGCCTGCGCCGTTAACCGAGAGATCACGGCCGTTTTCATGTATTCGTCATCGTTGCAGCCAAAATGATGTTAGAAATATCGGAAAAGATGAAAATCACTCAACGCAAGATCTGGACTGTAGGGAGGGGTGGTCCAAAACTTCCCAACCAAAAGAGTCCAATAAAGATAGGATCTAAGCTGCGGAGAGAGTTATTTAAGTAGAGTAGCAAAATTCCCTGTCAGCATGACAGGGAATTTTGCCACTTCACAAATCTGCCAGTGAATGTATGCAGCAGACAAGCTTTTTGCCGACTAAAAACATATCACTGACCGTACCTTGTGCGTGGCGGGCGATTTGTTAAATTTGAACATTTTAAAGTCACAGAACTGTACAGTTTACCTACACAGCTGCAACTGAGCACAGTTGTTCCCAAAGAATGTCGGGACACGACAGAAGCACTCATTGCGACGCACGCGTCATTTATTAGTGCACACAACAGAACGGCCCTTACTTTAAAAACAACCCTCGTATAACGTTTTTTTTTACCTATTTATATTTAAATTGTGGTAAATAAAGTAGGTTACCACCTCTCTGATTTCTTTACTTAAAATTTAATTCATAGTTTCAATTTTAAAATTGTTTATATAAAAGTCTAAATTATTCAAAAGAAATAAAGCATAGTAGGTACTTTAAAAACAAACAAATAATATTTATTTTGCTCTTATTACATTTTACCTAAGCTCCAGTTTCACCAGCCAACCTTTTAGCAGCTTAATTATTTGTTAGTTTCAAGTTCTGATAGAGTGGTTTTCTCTTTTTTATTGCACTCTCACCAGTCCTGATGGGTACTGAAAGTTGCTTTACCTAGAGGTACAGTACTGATGGATCAAAGTACCCTACTGCTCCACCAGCAGTACACTACTGCTGGGTACCCACTAATTATCTCTTGACTTGTTTAGTTTGACCTAATTTAAATATTTGTCAACTGAAAATTATTTTGAGTTGGTTGATAAGAACACGTACATCTCTTTACTAGTTTATGATGTGATTTTTTCGATATCTTATGCTTTAACATGCAAAATTGTACGAAGAATATTATCATTTTTCAAAGTTAAGATAAAGTTATAGCAACTAATGCATCTGAAATCTATAATGCAGCTACGTTTTTCTTTACTATGTGCTTGAACTTGTAGTTTATATTTCAATTTAAAGTCTTTTTTTTTTCTATCCTTTGAGAACTTTTTTGTTGGAAACATTTTAATGTAATTAATTTAGAGTCTAACCAGATGTTCTTGCTTTCTTATTTTTTGCTTGTTTAATTTTTACCTTGACTTAATGCAAAGACATACATCGGTCCAGTTTTGATTTCTGTGAATCCGTTCAAGCAAATGCCATACTTCACAGAGAAGGAGATAGAACAATATCAAGGAGCTGTAAGTTAATCTTCTTTTCTTCTTAATCATTGTCTTTCTTCCAGTTAATGTTAATCAGAATTATAATTGAATGTTTTTATAAAGTTTTATTATTTTTGTCTGATAATATTTAAAAAAAAAAAAAACATTGTGGTGATCAAAAATATAGTTGAACGAATAACAGCAGATTTTCACCAGTGTTCTCCAAAAGCGTTTTTAGAACGTCGGCCCTCCCCGCCTGCCTTTTGATGTCAATAAATGCGCTCTCCTTGCTCTTTTTGTAAAGTCCAAGCGTTTTCCATTCCTTAAAAACACGGTCTTTTTATTTTATTTTTTCATGAAATGGTTGGCTTTTTTTTACTACCTATTTTAATGAAAAGTCCAATTCAGATTTATTTAGTTATTGATCATTATTTAATTTTTAATTTCATTCCTTCATTTTAATAAGAATTTTCTTAAGTTGTTCAGTTATATAGTTAAAAATCTCAAAATATTTGGCCCCAGAGATATTCACATCTTTTATTTATAAATTTTTTAGTAGGGCGTAGTGGACAGGGTGATGGATACACGCTCGAGAGAACGAGAGTTCGAATCCATCCGACCGAAGACTCCCTGTGTAGTTAATGGTGACTGGTGCACGTTAAATTTATTGGGTCACTAATTCCTCCATGTTTTCATAACAAATCATACCTCTACTGGTACTGGATTGGGGATTGATCGTTCTCTGGTTCAGGTCAAAATTTCAATCTGTGGATGTATGTATGAATGGGTCCACCCTATAAACAAACGGGTGTGGCAGAAGTCGAATTCTTAGCCGTAAATGGCGCCACTTCAAAACAAGAATAATCGCAACCCCAGTGCCTTAATGGCCTACGGCAACAACAACAACATAAGTTTTTCAGGGATTTTAAATTTTACCATTATTTTTTTTAAATAAATACCTTTCAGTTTTAAAAAAAGCACCTTAAATGCTTATTTTCACATGTCGGCCTGTATACACTCGACTGCTAATAACTGCTCAGAAGGGACCACGACCGTGAACTTAGTTCAACTCTCTCAATCAGCACTCAAAATTATGATGATCTTAATACAGCTCTCTCTGCTTCTCGCGAAACATCAATGAACCAACTAGTAGTATCTGTTCAACGAATTCTATCACATATATAATTCAGATGGGGGAGTATTGTAGTGTGTCCAGCACTATAAAATACAATTCCAGTTCACTGGTATATAAGCCATGTTATCTTGATTCGAAATTGGGGTACCTTCTCATAGATGAGGTTGACATTATCAATAACATTCGCCCCCCAAATCTTTCTAATACATCTATCTAAACTCTGTTTTGGTCTTTAATCTTGTATGATGAAGCATTATTTCAGACTATTTTAATGTTTAAGAAAAATTTATTTTATAGAATATTAGTGGTTGTATTTCGATATCACTTACACTTTAGAAAAACATGAAAGAAAAATATCTTCACGGCTATGTAAAGTTTTGGTAAGTGCGTTTCTATACATTGGAAAGAAATTCTTCAACTTAGAAAAGTATAATTTAAGTAGTTATTAATTTGTCATATCCATTAGAAATGATGTGTTCATTGACTTTAATCAAATCTTACCCGAAAAGCACAATGAAAACTACTTATTGTATCAAAAGTATTAGAAAATCACTTCTTATTCAGTATTTTATTGTCATAAAAATTAATTTCAATGAAGAAAGTTTTTTTTCCAGTTTTTTTAGTTTTTAGTATTTTAATTTTAAAAATTAATAATTACTTTTTTAGAATCTCATTTTATCTGTCAAAAATATCTCTTTAGGCATCCTACGAGAACCCACCTCACATCTATGCACTGTCTGACAACATGTATCGGAATATGCTAATTGACAATGAAAGCCAGTGTGTTATCATAAGGTGGGTTGATTGATTTTTTTATTTCTTAAAATTTTTCTACTTTTCTTAAGATTTAACAGCTAAAGTTTTAAGGAAAAAATTTCTTTTTCTTTTGTTGTGAAAATTTAAAAGATTGCTGGATTTTTCAACTCTTATAAGAAAAATTATTTGGAAATAAAGTATATTTTAATTTAAATAATTAGAAGTTTAAAGCAGGAAGTTAAAATTGTTTTCACTTAACATTTAGAGCAATGGGATTTTCTGGACATGTTCTGAAAATATTGGTTGATACTAATTACATAAAATTGTTTTAATTTTTTGGCTCCTGTGTCCTTTTCACAAATTAAGATGATCCCTGTCATTTTCTCTTATTTTAAAAACTGAAAGAAAAATTCATATTTGTAGTAATTAAATAATTAGACTGCATGTCCATATTTTAAATGCCTAGATTTCTTATACACTAATTGTCATAAAATTAAAGAAAAATCTCAAAAATGACCATAACTCAAAAAGTTTCGAACTGGCACACATTATAGTGCACATAATAATGTGTAAAGTAACATAAAAAGTATTAACCCGACAATTACGGTTTCACAGAAATTAGCATATGTATGAAATGAATAAGTCAGAAGTACCTTCAGTATGGAGTATGATTAGTTCTAGCAGAACATACAGTGATGTGTAATGCTTTCAATTATGCTCTCTACTAGTGCTGTTGGAAATGCAAGCCATTGTTCTTGCAGTTGCAAGTTGGTCTGAGGAGGAGGATTGAGAACAGCTACGTGTCTTCTTAAAGCATCCTAAACATGCTCGATAAGATTCAAGTCCTGTGATCGAGCTGGCCACTCCATACGCTAAAATGTTTGCTACTGAAAATAATCATCTAAGATGCAAACCCTGTGCTGCATTGCGTTATCGTCTTGTAGCACAGATTCATTGCCTAATGCACCAGCATAAACATAAATATAACATAAAAGATGTCATCTCTATACACATGAGCAGTCACGGTTCCACGTGGAAAGATGTACGGGTCTCTGAGTCTGTCCAAAGGGATTCCATCCCACATACAGGTGCTGCCTCCTTGATTTGAATCTCTTTCACAGATGTCTGATAGATGATAGATGGTTCTCTCCAAATCAAACAAAAAAATTTATAAAATTTTTTTTGGGGTACTGCCCCATTCACACATCGAGGCTTGCGCAGACGAGGTTGGACGAAAAGAGTGTTCAAAAACTGGACTGACCTTCTCAGAGCCCCGATCTAAATCCCATTGAGCACCTTTGGGACGAATTAGAGAACAGATTACAAAGCCAGCCAAATCCACCCTCCTCACTTCAAGCACTCACTTCTGCTGCGATGGAAACATGGGAGTCAATTCCTGTGGCCACCTATCAAAAACTATTGGAAAGTCTTCCCAGGCGTGTGCAGGCTGTCATGGATGCAAAAGGGGGACCAGCATCATATTAATGTGTGCCTCAGGACACTCTAAGTCCATACCACTGGGTGTCCAGATACTTTTGGCCATATAGTGTAGTTTTTATGATTACTATTGTGGTTAAAGTGTAATCCCAGTTAACCGAAATATTTGTTTCCTCCTTTTCATGTAAATAATAATGAAATATTCTCTTCCTTTGCAGCGGAGAAAGTGGAGCTGGAAAAACTGTTGCAGCAAAATTCATCATGGGATATATTTCACAAGTGTCTGGAGGTGGAACTCGCGTTCAGGTTCACTTCTTTTTTTATATATATAAATATCTCTTTCTATAAAATAATAATAATTTTTGTAAAAAAATTATCTACTATTGTTTGGACAATCTAAGTCAGTTAAGACTACACCTTTAGCAATAGGTAATGATAAATATGGAAATTAAACTTAGAACATTTTTGACAAATTGGATTACTTTTGATGAATAAAATGACCATTTTCATTTTTGATAAAATACCTAACAACTTTTGAACTTTGCATAAATTTTGGAAATTGTTTTAAAGCTTTAAGGTTGATTTGTTCCAAAAATATATTGTCATACTTAGTTGATAATTTTAATAGTATGGGAAAATGTGTAACACAAAACTCTATATATGGAGTATTAAAAAAAATTGAAAATGGTCAAATGTCTCGAGAAATATACGTCAAAATGAAAACTCAAAATAGTCGCATACAATATTTTTTAAAAGCTTCCCAATGATACCAAACTTGGTCTTTCACCCCCATCCAATGGAAGCAGGGGAACATCATTGAAATCTTAAGTATGAACCCCTATTTTTTAATTGCAGAAAGAAAAAAAATTAATTCTCCAGAAAAAAGTAACCATTTTCAAGTTGTAAGTTAATGCATTTTGCCTGCATTAAAATGGCGAATCTCAAGATCCTTCAGATAAAGACCATTAAAATAGACACGTTTAAAAAAATTTCAAAAATTATTGATTTTTTTTTTTTTTAAATCTGATGGATCTCAAGATACCATCACTTTAAATGGTTTGTAACCTATTTTAATCTTCTTGACTACAGCGCCATCTGTGAAGCAAAGTTGATGCATTTTAGCTGCATTAAAATGGCAAATTTCAAATTCATCAGATTAAGAATATAAAAATAGACACGTTTAAATAAAAAAAATATTGATTTTTTATATTTTTTTCAATCTTATGGATCTCAAGATGCCGTCATTTTAAACAGTTTCTCCCTATTTTAATCATCTTGATAATTATTTAGACGCTTAACTAGAATCATCATACATCGCCATCTGTAAAGCAAAGGGCATGAGCCTCGAAAAATGTTAATTTTTTCTGGAAAATCCAAATTTGCATCGAAAAAATAGGGGTTCATATTTAAGATTTCAAAGTTACCTCCATCATATCCTTAGAGAATGAGGATGAAGGATCGAGTTTGGTATCATTGGATCGCTTTTAAAAATCAATGTGACTATTTTTTTTTCAATCTGATGTATATTTCTCGAGTTATTTAACCATTTTCAAAATGCACATTATAAAGATCTGCTACTTTATTACAAATCTCATTATAATTTTTTTTTTGTGTAGTTTTAGTGTTTCGCACAAAGGGCTTACCTTTTTCATGTAAACATAGGTTCCACAGTAATATTTTTATTTTCTGTCAACTTCAAATTATATCACCATTTGGTCAATTAAGCTAGATTGCATAATCTTGTAATGTTTATAGGTGATTGCGGTCAGTTCTCGGCTCTTGTGATATTAACTCTGCTCACAACTCTCTATATAGTGACATCTCCATGGTTCATGCTAGATTTTACCTCCTTGTTTGCTAAAGATACAACATAATATATTTTAATTTAGAAGTTTAAACGCTGCATCCACAGCTCCTTTCTATTTAATATCTAATCTAATGGTCCTGCAGTGGACTGATCATTAAGACACGGTTCCCAGCAGATCACCGAAGTCAAGCATCATTGACTGCGGTCAGTGTGCGGGTGGGTGACCACTTGGATCAGTCTGCGTAGGGACCGAGGGTGTGCGGTATTGGACCTCGTTAAACTGTGCTACCGTAAAGTGCTCGACTTCGCGTGCAGGTCGTCGGGCTACCGAAGCGGGGGTGCCATCCCCTCTGCAGAGGATCAAAATTGTGATGGCATGTCTTCGGATCATCCTCAGGGATGTTTCCCAGACCATCGCCAATAGCCCATTGAGCAGCTCTAGTGCGACGTAAATGAACAACAACAACAATCTAATCTAATGAAAATTCTCAATGGGTTATTAAAAGTATTGATGGATTCAAATAAAACAGTATGGAAGCAATGTTCAGTTAATATTCAGTCTTGGTTGCTATGTATGCTTAACAGGGGTCTGTCCAGGTCGAATTTACTACCGTTTAGCGGTACCTTCACAAATTCAATATTAGGTAAAACGGTAGTTTCACAAATTCAACTTTATGAAAAAACAGTAGTTTCACAAAATGCTTTTTCTTAAAATTTTATTTTTGTATCCCTTAAGAAACGATAGATCTATATTTTTAGTTTCTAAATCTACATTTTTGTATTGATTTTTTAATATAATTTTTAATTTTTCACAAATTATGTCTAAATTTTCACAAAATAGGTCCCTTACAGAAAAACCTAGACAGACCCCTGCTTAATAAACTAAGGTGACCCCTTTCATATTCTTTTAAAACTGATTTAAAAGATTTGCATTTGTAATAATTGAATAATTAAGTGTCAAGTCAATATTTTGATCTGATTTCATTACATTTATAAACAAATTTTTAAAAAAAAACTGTTAAAATGAAATTAAGCTAAACTTTGATTCCTTTTCAGAAAATTAAAGAAATAATTTTAGAGTCTAACCCTTTATTAGAAGCTTTTGGAAATGCAAAAACTGTCCGTAATAACAACTCATCTCGCTTTGTAAGTATATATGTTTTCCTTAAACACACATTATGTTTTGTTAGAAATCCTATGTTTGATTAACATATTAAACTGCATATATAATGTTAATCTGTAGTTTTATCAGTACTTAACTTTGATTTCTATTTGTAGGGAAAATATATTGAAATCCAATTTAGCAGAGGAGGTGAACCAGAAGGGGGTAAAGTTTCTAATTTCCTACTCGAAAAAGTGAGTCATTTTCTAGCCTATTGTTATTTCTGGTGGCTAAAATTTAGTATTCTGTTATTAAATTCGAGAAAAGACAATTTTATTTTTCTAAAGTTTTTATATTAAATGTATCTGTTTTCTTACTTAATATTTGTAATTTATAATTTCATTGTATAATCAGAATTGTTTATAACTGTGTTCTTATTAACTTAGCAATTAATTAAAATATTTATAATGTTAATTCGAATATTTATAATGTATTGTTGAAAACTTATCATAAAAATAATATATATATATGTATTCATTTAATTTTTTACTGTCAGATAAAATCATTTTAATTATATAGCAAAAATGTAAAAACTTATTTCTTTATTTTTGTATGTGCAGTCGACGCCCGATATAACTATCCCTGTGGTTCAAATGAAACTCGCTATGAAATGAAACTATGTAAACTCGCTATACGTTAGTACTCAAAACTATAGAAAATATTTACACATAAATACTAGACTTAATTTTTCAAAATCCCCACCCAATCCTGTAAAACCACTTTTTTCAAAATTTAGCTCTATTCTAAGCATATGATGAAGCCTATTAGGAGTAGTTTTTAGCCATATTTGCTTAATTACATATGCCCGAAGAACTGTAAATTCTAAGAAAAATTAAAATCAACTAGGAGTATGAATAATATTTGTTCTATGCTCAAAATAAACCACCTATTACAACACTTTATGAAAAGAGTGAAGATAGTTTTCATTCAAGAAAAAATGTCAATAATGAATCTATTGAAACCTTTGAAAAGAAATTGACAACGACTATGAATGCATACAAGTAACTCAGATTTTCTTGTAAGGATTCAATATATACTTCTAATTCTCAATAATGAAAGTGGCCTATATTTTTGCCAAGCACCACCTACAGTAAAAATCAGTGGTCTCTCTTCTTCAATCACTCTTTCTTCATTCACGCAAAATGTAACTGTATTTGAATGGTAACATCAAAAGAAAGATTGATTCAAATCATTTTCTGGAAACTTTTTCTATTCATTGTCAATGGGAAAATTTTTGTTTTGAGAGCTCAAAAATATTTAGCGCCATCTTTGAAGTATTGTTCTTAGAATTAAAAAGAAATTTTGGGCTCTATATTGCATATCTGAAAACTCTACTGGATTTTCTAAAAGAGTACTACATTTTGCCAGTTTCTCCTGGTCTACTGGTTTAATTGAAATTTTCCTGGTTTTTGTACATTTTAGAAAATTCCTTAAATTTGAGTAATTTTCCTGAAAAAATCCCTATTGTAATAGAATTTCTGCTTACTTGAATATTTAAATAACTTAATTATACATAATGAAGCAAACCTGATTTTTAGAAATCAGTTCAAAATTTTTTTCTAAAATTTTAATTTTTTTTTTATTTAGAACTCTCTTTTAAAATGAATTAAGAAAATCTTTTTACTATCTATGATGAATTAAATGTTATTAATATTTGAAATTATGACTAAACATAATACATAACATTTCAAGTATGTTTAATGTCAATCATAACTGTAAAGTAATTGAAGTTTTTCTATTTTGAGAAATAAAAGTCCTTAAAATTCCCTTTGTGTAACATTTTAGTACATTATGCAACAGTTATCATGAAATTTATATTATTTGGTAAAATCTACTGGATTTTTTTCCTATATATGTTGGCAGCTATGATATTGGAATCAAGTACCCGGTCAGGTCATTCTAATGGGCATTAAAATAAGATCACATGTATAAAATATGAAATTAAATGGATACTTCCTAGATTTTTTGTACATAATAGTTTCATTAATGCTGCCAGAGGCCTCAAAATGACAGACCATTTGGAAAAAACAATGGAAGATTATGAAAATATTAAATTTGCTTTGTTTCAGTGGCGTGCCAACTTTTTTTTGACTGGGGGGGCGAGCCAATGCAAAGTCATAAGCTTTGCTTGATTTAATATTTTAAAGTTAGTTGTATTATTTAATATTGTAATTTGTCTAATTGTAATTATCTAAACTATTTCCGTTGTTTATGACAACGATGATTTAACTATTACATCCACACCAACTTAGTTAACAAAAAATGATTTATCAATCCAAAGCTAATTAAAAAGAAAAAAAGTGCATTAAAATGTAAAAAATTTAATTAATGAATTTTGTAATTTTACTCCTTTAAACTTGTTAATGCTGAGCAATACATTTTGTCGATACATTTTAATCATAATGACATAGAATGGTTTTTCGCTCCACAAAAACATATTGAATTAAAAATAACTTGTTATTTAAATTTTGATTCTAGCATAGATTTNCATATTTATTATAACCTCTTACTTTAATTTCAGAGGAAAATTAGGTTTTTTACTTGGAAAATAGCTACAAAGTTCAACTAAAAAGTTACTTTTTTCTAAAATTTTACTTTTTGACTATTTTTTACTCGGAATTTTACTTGATTTTATTTTCTAGAATGTTTAAATTTCAGGAGGGGCGAAATATATTGTTTGCCCCCTCACTAAAATTTCAGAGGGGGCGACTGCCCCCTCTGCCCCNCCCCCCCCCCCCCCCCCCCCCCCGGCTGGCACGCCACTGCTTTGTTTAGCTATTTGCTAGTATTCTCAACAAGCTTCAAATTTTTTACGAAGTTCACTAACAGATAGCACTGATGTCTTAAAAAACTGTAAATCAATGTTTTCAGTAAATCAATCACATGTTCGACCACACTAATTGAAATGTTTCTACGGGTATCTGTTAATTTTCTTCCTTGGGCTGCTACCTAGTACCTATAGTATTTATTGGTAGTTTTGAAAACATTGTTTTATTGTTTTTCCTTAGGTTGCAGTGCTATTTATAATTGAAATTTGTGTCTAATTTTAAAAGTTGGTCTGAATAAATCTGCTAGTTTTCTAAAAAAAGCACAACAAACTATACATTTCTATCTCTTTTTTTTTGCAATTTATTTTTCAAATCCTGTTTCATTTTTTACACACTTAGTATGGCTATCTAATAAATATGATATTGATTTATTTTATATCAAGATAAATGTGCTGCTATATTTTCTTATTTTCTATTTATTTTCAGTCTCGAGTCGTGAATCAGAATCCCAATGAGAGGAATTTTCATATCTTTTATCAACTCTGCTCTGGTGTCACATCAGATATGCAGCGTGAGTTCTTCTTTTTTTTGCTAGTAATTAAAGTTTACACGCCCGGTGGCTGAGCGGTAGCGCTTTGCGCTGTCCTGCCACAGGTCCCTGGTTCGATCCTCGGGCCAGGCAAGGCTGACTCAGCCTTTCATCCCTTCAGTGGGTCGATAAATGAGTACCAAGCACGCTTGGGAACTAAACACTGGGGGTTCCGCGTTCGGCTGACCACCTGACCGGAACATCTGCTCCTGCACCTCTGAGCCCAAGGTCAAGAAAACTGAGATGGGCACAGTAGGCCTTGGCCCACAAGGGCTGTCGCGCCGCTGAGTTTAATTAAAGTTTACACTTTTGTGTCCCTATGTTATATTTGTACTCAATTCCTTTATTTGTTAACATTACCTCATATCTTTATATTTATATTTTAAATTGAAAGAATTATGTTTTTGGACTTCATATAATCAAAAATTAAGTTACCATAGTACATTTGAATAAAATCTATTAATAAACTTAAGCAAATTATGACTTCAGCAGGTTGTCCTAAATAGCCCAGAACATGTATTCTAACTTAGTGCTACATAATTTCTGTAGTTTTAGTTCTGATTCCAGAGTTATGAGAAGCATGCTGAAAAATCATATTCCTCTTTTTTAAATAGTTCTTTCTGTTACATGTTTTAGCTTTTACTTATTTTTAATATTTGCAGGATCTTAAACAAAATCCCTAAAAATGTTTCATTTTATTTATAAAATTGTTAAGACCCTTGAAGTGTGCATTGTTTTTTCTTCAAACTATTAATGTCTTTAAATATTTTTATGTTTGGCTTGATGCAGAAAAATTGTTATTTACCACTGCTGTGTTGATAAATTTAGGATTTTCTAAAAAAGTTTAAATTTTTTTAAAGTTTTATTAATTGATATCATTCATTCATTTATTTTTTGTTTAAAATGTTTATAGTTTTTGTCAAAAAAATATTTCAGGCTATATATTCAATTTTATCATATAAAACTGCTGTTCAAGTTAAATTTATTCATTTAAACGAAATAAGCTGATTTTTTTTTCTTTACAGAGAATTTGGGTATAATGACTCCTGATTATTACTGGTATTTAAATCAGAGTGGCACATTCAAAGTGGAAGGTACAAATGATGCTCATGACTTTCAAGAAACATTGGTACGTTATTAATCATAACTATACTTATTGTTATAAAAATGTAGTAACTTTTTTTAAAAAAATTCATTGTAAAAAATTATCAACCGTGAAAAAAAAATTTAACTGTGAATTGTTTACTGCAAACTTTACTGTGACTGTTTTCTGTAAATTGTTTTTTCAATGTGAGACAATTTCTCTTTTTTTGTCATCTGATATTATTTCAGGTTTTTCTGGCTGCAAAACAATAACATGGAAAACATCCTCTTTATGTAAAAACTGAACTCACCAACCCTCATAATGTTTACTCGATGTTTTCTTCATGATGATTTTTTTTATTGTTTACTGAGTAATAATTTTTTTCATGAGCTACATTTATTCAACAACAATTAAGCAAAACACATAAAATTTTATGCATCATGGTGCGTAGCGTTTTTAAAAAGTGCTTAAAGGTACTTATTTTCAATTTTGGTTTTTAAAATTTTTTCGATTTTGGCTCATCTTTCCAAAAATTATATTTTTTTCTTTACTATGTCGATTTTCGCCACATGTTGTGCAAAAGCGTACTTTTCACATTATTCTATGCAATGTTTTCACAATTCATTCAACCACAATCCATTTCGGTGTACCGTCGGTTCATAGCGTATGAAAGCGCCAATCATTTTTACAGGTTTGATGAAATACTTGGGCGTCCACATGTGCATACTGAGTTGGCTTCGGTGAGATTATTGCACTCTTCTGTGCTACTCTGATGCATTTTGCAAGATATTCTCCATTTCTGGCTTCATTTTATACCAAGAAAAAGAGTGTTTTGTCAGAAACTAATGATTTTATCATAATCATGTAAAGTCTTTAAAAAAAAATTTGCATTTTTTTAATGTATACAGTGCTTAAAAATCTTTTTTTTTTTGAGTACTTAAAAAGTTCTTAAGAGGTGCTTATTTTTTGGTGAAAGATTTGGCTACGCACCCTGTGCATTTCTTCTTAAGGACATTTTCTTCTTAAAGCACATATTTCTTGCTTTCATTAAAGTTTTATCACAGTGAAAATTTCATAATGTGCTTGAATCAAGAGAAATTTCATTAGTCTGGGTTTAGTCATTTCTACCAGTTTTTTTCCAATAAGATTATGTTAGCTTTTAATATCATAGATTGTAAATATGTATTATTTATGTAAAAAATTTTTATCAATATCTTTAATTTAAGGAAATAAATAATTACCTAGATTTGAAAAAAAATTACCTGTACTTGAAAAGAAAACTTAATCTTAGTACAGATCATGTGATCCAATAAAAAGAAATAAATGGTAAGCAATTTTACTCGTTAACAAGACTTATAACAGTTCAAGTCGGAAACAGTTTTTATTTCTCTTGTTTTAAGTTTTTCCGTTTTGAAAACTTTCAATATAAATGTTAAGGTTTATATCATCTAATCTCATTCTAATTTTTTGTTCTTGTTTTTCACGTCAACTCAATTGTGAGCTTATAAAATAAGTATCTTTAGAAAGAAAGATTAATTGCTTTACAAAATTGATTAAATCTTCAATATTTTAAGCAAAAAAACAGAAAAAAATCTTGGAAAAAAGTACTTTAACTCCAAATATTTTTGAACAAATTAAAATGTTGAAGAAAACTCTTGTTAAGTTTTAAATTAAAAATGTTATGTAAATATTCTTTTGCCTTCAAATTTTTCTTAATTAGAAAATGAATTTAGTTTTTTTTAAATATATTATTGTGAAATATATTATTGTTTATAATATATTATTAATATATTGTTTTTTTTAATATATTATTGTATGTGTGGTTTTGTAAAATTTAAAATTTCACTGCTGCTTTTTATAAATAAAAAATATGTTCCCAAGAATAAGTATTTATAGAATATGTGCATTTTTAGAAAGCTATGACAGTAATGGGTATGACTGATGATGAACAAATGAATGTGCTGCAGGCAGTTGCTGGTATTCTACATTTAGGAAATGTGACTTTCGTAGAAAATGGCAATTATGCTGCTGTGGAGGATGATCAGTGTAAGAATAAACTCTTCTCAACTATTAATCTTAACCTCTCTCTTTACTACCCCCCCCCACTATTTGTTTTAAAATATTTCAAATTACTTGATTCCTTCATTCTTATTCAGGATCGACTGACCCTTAGCATTTCGACTGGCATTTTTTTTCAAAACCCATAATTTTACCTAAAACCTAATTTGTTTTTATTCGAAAAAACCTTGTTAACTATAATAGTTATTTCAGGCACGTGAGTAGAGGATAAATTAAGTGATTAATATAATTACTGATTATATTGGAACAATTAATTTTTGTATTTTGATCATTTCAATAAAATAATCAAAATCCTAATTATTGAAAGAGAACATAATTATTATTAGAGAAAGAGAATTCTAATTATTATTTTCTTTAGTTTTAGGTTTTCCAGCTTATTTGTTTGGTATTGAAGCTGAGCTGATAAAATCAAAATTAACTAGTCGTGTCATGGACAGTAAATGGGGTGGACAATCAGAAACAATTCATATGCAACTCAACTTAGAACAAGCTGTTTACACAAGAGATGCCTGGGCTAAAGGATTATATACTCGCGTTTTTGATTACTTGGTCAAAGTGAGTTCATTATCTGTTTTGACATTTATTACATATTTTGTCAAATCCGTTCTATTTTTAATTCTCTTTGATAATTGTTATCGTGACATCTTTTTAGTATCAGAAAAGCTGGAAAAAAAAGTGTTCTTATTCATTAAAAAGTGCTTAAAGGTGCTTATTTTTGATTTTCATTATTTAAAAGCCCTTAAATGTGCTTTTATTCATTGGGTGATTTTAAAAAGTGCTTAATTTTCCCTTTTCAAAAATGAAACTTTTTCGTTACCACGTCGAATTTCGCCACATACTATGAAAAAGCGTGCTTTCACATTGTTCTATTCAACGTTTTCACAATTCATTTAACAACAATCTATTTCGGCGTACCGTCAGTTCATAGCGTATAAAAGCGCCAATCATTTTACATGTTTCATTAAATACTTGCGAGTCCATATGTGAGTCTACTGACCTGAGTTCGGTGAGATTCTTGCACTCTCATGTGCAACTCTGCTGCATTTTGCAAGATATTCTCAATTTCTGGCTTCATTTTCCTCCCTCTGATATCGAAACGAAAAATCTCTCGATCATTTTATAACTGCTAATATAATCAAAAGAAGAGTTCTTTGTCAGAAACTAGTTATTTTCTCATGATCATCGAAAGTTAAATCATTTTGTTAATGTATATAGTGCTTTAAAATATTTTTTGAGTGCTTAAAAAGAGCTTCTGTTTTGTTGACAGATTTAGCTACTCACCTTGTTATTTAGGTAATTCACCTGAAAAGTCAATCTTGCTCTTCCCCTTTTTCTCTTGTCATCAGGGGCAGAAAAGTTTAGCACAGTATTTTTCTTATGTCTAATTAAATAGTGTATGTTTCAAAAGGGCTTGTCATCAACATTTCAATCAATAAAACAACAATATATCTGGTTAATAATCAATCAAAAAATTTCTACTTTTTTGTTAGAGAAATAAAAAATCGTTAAAGTAAAATTATGAAAGTATTAAAAAAAAAGTATAGATAATAATGATTAAATGAAAGCTTCATTTCCATAAAATTAGAAAGAAAGGAATAAATTTTTATCTATTTTAAGCTTTTATACATTCATTGACATCTTTCCAGAGAATGAATTAAAAAAGTTCACCTCTCCACTTCTTTTCTAAACATTTGATCAAAAAATTAAAAATGTTCAAACATATTTTATCAATTTGGAAAAATTAAAAAAAAAATGTTAAAATAATTTATTGGTTAGTATCGCATCCTCTATTGAATCATATCTCATGGTGTGCTTGAATAGTCTTTGCTATCTCTATGGTATTAAATGTATATAAATCTTCTTCTGTAGGGTAGTTTAAGAGGTGAAGCCCTGCAGCGACTGCAGGGCAGTTAAAAACATGATATGGTGTGAGTTCCACATTGGGACAGTTGCCACAGTTTTGATATTTTCTAGTCCCATCTGCAGAGATTTTCATGTTTTTATGATGTTTTGTTCTTTGTCTGATGAGAGTGGTGGCTGTCCTCATGTCGATGTCAGAATTAGTTATTTGATCATGGGCCTTGAAAAGAATTTATTAAAATATTTTTAAAAAATCCCAGAAAATGAGTTAATTTCAGTTTGAGATGCCTAAAAGTCCAGCACCTTTTCCAACAAAAAAAATTGTTGCTACTTCTAATAGATATTTTTTGATGCTCGATCTTTATTCACTTTTATGTCATTAAATTTATATCTATGAAATTACATAACTACTTACTATCTAAAATTTCTTTTGCAAAAACTCATTTTCACATTTCTGAGAAAATATCGCACTGTCACAATCGAATATTTTTGTCTTCTATTTTAAAAAAATGACGTTTAACAATGGTGTGTCACCCATTATATCTCTTTATTGCTATTTACCTGAAACTTTTTTCACAGAATATGTTTCTTTTGTTTAATTTTTTAAAAAAACTACTTGTTTAATTTCATTGCAATAGCAAGTTTAGTTGTTTTGTAATATATTTTATGTTAACATAAATAAGACAGAACTGAAAAATTAATAATACAATTTAAGTCATTAGGTACAAAAATGGGAAACACTTGACAAACATAAATCTAGAAATTTTAAGATTTTTTCTGCTTGAGTGTTTGTAGCCATTCTGATTATAATATTTGTAGTTGACAACCTGAGAAATCTGAGTTAAATTTACAAGATGGCATACCATAATTTTTCATTAAGTTCTAGTAAAGTGAAACCTCTCGGGAGCGACTACTCTCTATTCCACTGTAAAATGGTCGTTAATGGAGGTTGGTTGCTCTTAGGGGTTACCTTCGTTGACTTGAAAATTATATCGAAGGTACGTAATATTTTGTAAGCGATTTTAATTTTACTGAGTCTCGTTTTTTTTTTGGTGCAAAAGTGCCACTTGTGCTGGCTTCACTGAAACCGGATAGATGAATAAAACTTACCGTCAATAAAAATGACCTCTAATTTTATGCATGAAAGCAAATTTACCACTTATGAATAATAGAACTATTTTAAATAAATAAACAATTATGTTTTTTGTTTAAGTTTACATTAAATTTTATATCATAAAAATGAGTCAACTTTAAAAAATGAGAACAGGTTTGTTTGCTTGTTATACTTAGTTTTTTCTAAAATAACTTTTTATTTCTAATTTAACTTTCAAATCTAAAAATAAATCATAGATATTATCGTCTTTAGTGCACTCTGACTGCAACATAAGGTTGTCAATCTCTCTCCGAAAGCATCAAAAAGACCTCTCTAAATAAGAATCTGACACAAATATTTTGATTGCATTTGAATCTACTTATTTGTTTTGGTAATATTTTTTGTGTATTTGACCTTTTTCACATTTGCTGCAGAAGATAGCCCAGTTGCTGGGGGAGATTTTGATGGTCTCTTCCAAGATTTTCAACACAAAGTCTAAAGAAAAAATGCATCTGTGCATCCCAAAAGTGATCGTAAATAGAGGAGGTCACTACAAAAGGGTGGTCTTTCCTGGAGGTTTCACTGTAGTTAAAATTATAAATTTCAGCATTTTGAAGATTTTGTTTAAAAGTGCTTTTTAGTGTTGCCATATTAATAATTTTGTACCTGATTCTCAGGTTGTAAATTCTGCAATGAAAACTCCAATGACTGAACTAACTGTTGGAATTCTGGATATCTATGGATTTGAAATCTTCCAGAAAAATGGGTTTGAACAATTTTGCATCAACTATGTAAATGAAAAATTACAGCAGATATTTATAGAATTAACACTAAAAGCTGAACAGGTATAGTAGCTTTGATTTTATTTGTAGCCCATTTGTATAACATTTTAGATTGATTTCATTGTTAATATTTAAGAGAATTGTGTTTTCCAAATTCTGATACATATACAATTGGAAAAACCCCAAATAAACAAAAACATACTTTCCCTAGATAAACATACCTTTTTTTCAACGGATTGTGATTCTCCTCAAAGTACAGGAGATTGCCTCAAATTATGAAAAATGATCCCAATAGTTTGGTCAGGAGAGCTGTCAATAGTTTGGACCCCGTAATGTTAATTGTACTTTTTATATAATTTGCCATACCTTGAAAACTTTTTGAGCAAAATGAAATGTTAGCACACAATTATAAAATACACTTCTCTAAAAATTATTCCCTGCAAAAAATAACTTTCAATAATTATTTGTTACTTTATTTATCAATTTTCCTTAAATTTTGAATTGCTTAGTTTCATTTAAAATCATCATTTTAAAGGAAAGTTATTATATTGAAAAATGCAAAATTTGACGAGAAATTAATTGAATAGTTCCTGAAAAATCGAATGGTAAAAAAGTCAGATATTTAAAATTCTATTTATGAGACTTCTTAGTTTAAATATTTAAATTCCTTATTTTTATAGCATGCTAACTCATAATTTTCATGCTCTCTAATTACATCACTTAACTTTAAAAGAACAAGACAACAAATTAAATTTATTTAATAAATAAAAAAATTTAAAAAATATATTTATCATGTAGAGGATGATTCTTTCCAGGTGATAGAAAAATGATACACAATTATATTGTATTTAATGAACAATTAAATTTGGAACATTTTTTTATTAATTATAATTAAGAATTTAAATTATTCTGTTGTTACTTATTAATCATAATTTTGCATATTAACATGACATATGGCCCACATTAAGCCTTCTCCACCTTGTCAAATGTGATAAAATGGTAAATTTGGCGTATAAAATTGTGTTTTGGCGAATGATATTTTCCACTGGAAAGAAAAATATATAATTCAATCCTCAAGATAACGTCAAAATGAATTTTTCTGAACAAATCAGTATTTTTTATTCAATTACAGTACTTTGTGGTAGATGCGCTGCGTAATCAATTATTATTGGGTCCAAATAATATAAGCCTGAAACAAACTACCATAAAATACAGATTAAAAACCCCTTTAAGTAATTCTATGGCAAAAAAATTTTCTTAAAAAGTTGTTAAGATTTGCATAGCGAATGCTTTTGAAATTTGGATAATTTTCTGGCTAATAATTTCTAATTCTTAGCTCGTACTCTACATATCTTTTGTGTTCATTATTTTTACTAAGTTTGATATAAACATTTTTAGTTTAAATGTGATTATTTTTCCAGAAGTAATTTGAGTAATAATATCTGTTTCAGGAAGAGTATGTACAGGAGGGTATTAAATGGAATCCAATAGAATACTTCAATAATAAAATAGTGTGTGATCTCATCGAGAACAAGACTTCCCCTCCTGGAATAATGTCCATTGTGGATGATGTCTGTGCAACAATGCATGCTGTCAATGAAGGTTCCGATGCTCAGCTTCTGGGTGTAAGTATTTTTCTTTTTTTATGTACAAAATTCGTTTTACAAAAGGAGCACATGACTTGAGATATTTACTTTGAGGTGAGATAGTCTGCCAGTACATTACCACCTAGGTTAGTACACCATAGGTCAAAAAAATATTTATTCAGTAAATAATCTTTTTTTAAATGTTCATATAGTACTTTTTTCTTGGAATTGGGTGGCCAGTGTGTTGGTTATTATTTTAAGAAATCAGGGGTGCCTACCGCAGCGATTTAACTGTAATTATTACAATTTGATGGATTTTGAAAATTAGGAATTTCAAGAGTTTTTATAATAATCTATTTAAAATAATTTTTTTCCTTAGCTATCAATAGTTTCGAAATTTTGTTGTTTGCAGCAAATATTCAAACAAAAGTAACACTTAAGTGTTACTTTTTTTTATTTAATAGTAATGTTGAATTTTGTAAAAACACTAATTTGAATTTTTGTTAACATTATATGTACTGTACTTTTTATTATGGAAAACTAGTTAAAAAAATTGGCACCTCTGGGAATGAACCCCTATATGTTTATTTGATGGTATAAATTTAATTTACTTCAAAAAATATTAAGATGGTAATAAAAATTTGCATGTTACAAGCCCTAAAAAGAGTTCTCATTCTCAAGACTTACCAGATGATCAGTGTACTATCGATATGCTGAATCTCATTCAACAGTGAATTTTCCAAATTGTGCTCTTTCCTTTTAGTTGTTTAAATTTTTGTGCTAATTGTACTATCAAAAGCCTATTCTGGTCACACAAAAGTTTGTACTTCATACATTATCCTCCTGACACTACGCCTCCTGGACCCCTTGTCATTTTGAACTTTAAAAAAAAAATCATTGAAAAATAATTTAGTTTTAAAACATATTTTATCATAATTTGTTTTAGTCTTGACGTAATGGAGGAAATATTTACTTGGAATTTTATGTAATGAATAAGTCTGAGGCTGCATAAGGGCTTCACAATTTCAATAACTATAGGAAACTGCATCTACAGCCTAATGCATAGGCATAAAATTCCTAGTTTACAAACTTTTGAGTGTATAATCGGGAACCTCACCCCCAAATTTTTGAGACCTGGGGCCCCTTAAAAATTAGCTCCCTCTAAAAATTAGTAAAAAAGAAAGGAAAAATACTTTTACGCAAATAAATTACGCAGCAAAAAAAAACATGTGTAATTGCAGCATAATATGCATAAAATTAGGGGTTAACGGACAAATTTAATAAGACAAATAACAGTTGATTTTGCAAACTGGGATAATATGTGATGAAATTTGATAAATGTGTCAAAATTTGGCAATTTTATCATGATACCTTAGAGCATGGCAAAAAAATATTTATTTGGTTAAATTTCCTTTTCAGTTTTGTATTTTTTTACTAATGTGGTAATACATACGAACTTTCAAGAGGTACCTAATTCAAAGGCTCCCATGGGCCACAAGCTCTCAATCTCACCCTGGTTCTTCTTTTGCATCGATGACAGTCTGCAAATGTCATGGCAGACTTTCCACCACTTTTGATTAGTGACCATTGGAATTTACTTCTTGGCATCTGTCACAGCTGAAGTGAGTGCTAACTGCGATTAGCGTTGATTTAAATGGTATATTATACGGAATTAAGTCAGGGTTCCAGGAAATCCAGTCCAATATTTGAACACCCATTTCTTCAATTCCTGGATGTGAGAATGGTGCAGTTATCCTGCTGGGGAGACCTTCCCCCAAATTTTGTCAAAGGCTTGGAAGACCAACATTGTTCAGAATGTCCACATCTCAGAATTTATGTTTCCTACTTGGGAACCTATGCCAACATGAAAAATACCTCCACATCATGATGCTTTAAGTAGGTGTCGGGATACTTTTGTCCAGATAGTGCAGTAGCCCCTAATTTCTCCAAAAAATGGCAATTTTGAATTTCTTAACCCCTTAACAATCGATTAATTTTCAAGAAAACGGTCATAAAAGTGCCTATTTTGCCAAATACACGTATTTAAATTGGTGCTGACATCTAGTTTAAAATAAACTAACTATCTACAATTACCTTAAAAATATCCTGATACTGCCATCTGGTGTATAAAATGAGAAATAAAATGTTTTCTGGGCAAAGGAAATGAATTAGTTTTATTCTTATGGGTGCGTTACTACTGAACACTCCAGCCCGGAAATTTCACAGGAGCGAGAAGGAAGGGGTTAATTCAAAAGTAGGTTAAATAAGTGTTTCATTATCATAGGGTTAAAATCCTAATTCATCAAAAAATACTACATGTTTGTACAGAGAAGGTACATTTATGAGTAGGTTTTGATATTCTATTCATCTTTTTCTTATTAAGTAAATTGGATGGATATGTCTGCATTGCAAAACGGGACCCTAAACTCAGATCACGATTGATCTTAAAGGGTTAATTTGAGAGTTTATTTTCATGATTTTGTGAGTGTCTTGTATTAATTAAAAAAAATTTAAAACTATTAAAAAAAGATTACTTTTTAATTAATTTAAATTTTATGTACGTTCTAATTTTATACTTTTCTTTATTTGCAATTATTGTCTTATCTTACTATCGTTTAAAAATTTATGTCTGAAAATTATTTTTTTTATGAAATAATTTAATCAAAACTTCAGAACACCTGAATTTTCAGTTGTGTTATTTACTTTTATTTATCATTAATTGCTGCAAAAAATTTGACTATTTGCACATATCATTGTATTATTTTAGAAATTATCTAAAGCTGTTGGTTCCCATGCTCACTTTCAAACATCTGGTATAGATTTTGCCATACATCACTATGCTGGTAAAGTAAGTTAACATTTCTGTTTTATTTATAAAACATTTGTCTTAATATTTTCGATGTGGAATCTCATGTTGTTTCACAGCTATTTAACAAGCACTTTAAGTTATTGTCCATTAAATTTATATGCTTTTGTGGAGTTTAAATTTGTTTTTTGAAAATCTTTTTTTTCCTTTTATTAATTTTTTATTTGTTATCTATGTTAATGAACTTATTGAGTTTAATGCATTTTACATTCATAATATCAAGTTTTATGCCAAAACTAAAGATGTCATTTCTACTGTAATTTTGTATTTACATTATAAAATAATTGTATTTAGAAACAGTTTTTCATATCAGTTTTGACTCAAAATATTTTTCTCAAAATTGCATTAGACTTAGTCTGAAAATTGTTGCTATAGTGTAAAATGTACTTTTTTAATTAAGTTTAAATCATAAATGTTAAGTTAAAAGAGATAGTCAGAAAATTACTAGCAATGAATCAAATCTTGTTATGAATTAAAAACACTTGTTAAAATAATTCTGTTTCAACAATTTAGTTCTCTAACCTACTTAAGTTTTTAAAAGAGTTGTTTCATAATTATTTTCTATACTTTTGATCCTTTTATTTAAAAATAATATCATTGGTTCTTAAAAAGTTTATATATCTTCCCATAAAGCGCATTACAATTCTTTAAGAGTATATTTGCTTACAATAATACATTAGAAATCGCTTGTTATTAATTATTTTTTGTTGTGATATTCATTTTTATTGGTTAGTTGGTAACTTTTATTTTCTTTTGACATGTTTAAGGTCACCTATAACGTTGAAGGATTTTGTGAGAAAAACCGAGATGTGTTATTTACTGACATTATTCAAGTCATGCAAAGTAGTGAAAAGTATGTTATGTCTATTTTGTTTATTTGAAATTAGTTACACTTTTAAAATTTGAGATATTTAATCAAAAGTATTTTTTCCAAAAAAATATTTTCGTTGTAGACCTACCTAATCTATAAGAACTCTATTTTAAATTATTCTGACAATTATCAATAGAAATAACAAAAGTAAATAATAAAGTAAAGTGAACAGATATAAAAAAGACATTTTTTCACACAAATTACGAAGTGGAGTCTGTTATGGTCTCACGTTAAAATAAAGCTTTAAATTTCGAAATGATTTTTGAGCTGTAATTATCTATCTATCTCAAAATATATAATTATGAGGACTTATTTAGGAAGATGAACTATTGAAAGATATTTTTAAGGAAATATTAATTGAAAATTGGTCTATAAAAGACCTTGAGAAAATTAAACCACCTATAGTATTGTTGGTAAGGCATTAGGCCTATGTCCAAGAGGATGTGGTTTCGATACCCACCAGCCTAAGACTCCCCGAGTAGTAAGGGGTGCGTGTTAAATCTGTTGGGTCATGAAGTCCTCCACGTTACCATACATTAAAAAATCATACCTCTGGGGGTACTGAATTGGAGATTAATCGTTCTCCGCTTCAGGTCAAAATTACAATCCGTGGATGAATAAATGAAGACTACCTATAAAACAGGTTGTGAGATGTGTGTGGCTGAAGTCTTATTCTTGACCATTTGTGGTGCCACTGAAAAACAAGAAACTCACCCTCTGCCTTAAATTCGCTTGGTTTCACCAAGCAGGCTTGCTGATAATGGCAGTGGCATTAAAAACAACAAACCACCCATTTAGTGATTTCTGTTTTTAATGCTATTGAATTTTTATAGTTCATTTATGAGAGAGCTATTTCCTGAAGATGTATCTGGGACTATACGAAGTAGACCAACCACTGCTGGCAGCAAAATAAAGGTAACACAACGCCTACTTTAATTCTATTTCAAGTTTGCTTAATTAAATATTTACCATTTTGTCAATGTTTTTATTTAATTTAAATTATTTTTGCTCCACAACATAAGGATATCATAAAGAGTTTAGTTCTGTTCAAAAAACTAAGATAAAATGCAATTTTCTATTTTTTCTATTATTATTTTAATGGACAAACATTGCAGTTTGGAGATGAACCCTATTTTTTTATCAGATATTTTAATGCCTCTTTTTTGGATTTGAGATTTTTCTCTTTTTTTAAAAAATTCTTCCACAAACTCGGAAAGAGTTTGTGGAAGAATAACAACACTGTCTAAAAGTTTCTGTCATACACTTTTCAAAGAATGCAAAAAAAGATCAAATGAAACTTCAATTCCTTTTATTGATAAAGTGTAGAGGGAAGTTCTGTTGGCAATTTGGATGTCTTTATGTGTTTTATTAAGCATGTCATTCATTGATTAATATTAATACAAAGTTTTCAATTGTCTAATTTAACTGAGATTTTTAAGGCCAGTTTTGCTATCTAATTTTTTCACATGCTAAAAGTTTTATAGTTGTATTGGTGTATCATTTTATTAAATAAAATTTTTGTTACAAACATAAGACAATTTTAGAAAATATTCCAAATGCTGTTAATTTTTTGACTCACTGATCTATGACTAATTTATCATTCCTCTTTATACCAACTAGCAAATAAAAATTTCTTAATTTATATTCTGAAATTTGATACTTTTTTTTCCCATGAAACAATATTTTACCAAAAATTATGTATTTGTTTAAATGCTTCTTCTTTGAAATGTTATGATGCTATTTTTTTATGTGGGATCGGATTGATGTTATTTGTTCAGCAATTTGAATCGAAACATGTTATGTTTAAACATTAGTTATGAATATTCAACTTCTTAAATTTATGATCTATTTTATTAATTGAAAAATTTAACTGTGAAGTATCAATTAAATTTATTTTTTTAAATTTATATAACAAAATATAATATATATTTTTGTTAATATTTATATTTTAATATGACGAAAAATAATACAGAAATCTGTATCTGTTATTACGGAAAATTAGCTTCCTGATTTTGGACTCTGTATATGTATAGAAATTTTGTGAGATACATCTAATTGAATTAATCACTTATTCTCAATAATCAAATAATTCTTTATATCTGTGTTCTAATGTTTTAAATAAAATTGAATATTGTTAAATAGATTTCCATTTATAATGACCAGTACAATACAGATGTCCTATAATAACGCATCAGAATTTATAATCTCTTATTTTAGTATGTATGCTTATACTGCTTTTATTTTGGAATTTCAATTACATTTTTTAACTTACTATATTTATGATTCTATTTGAATCAGTGGATGAAAAAGAAGTTTTTAATCAAGGGTGTTGTACTTTTAGACTCAAGCCAACCAACTAGTTGATGCTCTCATGAAGTGTACACCACACTATATCAGATGCATAAAACCTAATGAGACCAAAAAACCACATGACTGGGAAGAAGACAGGTATTGGCTTATTTTATAATAAAACAATTTTTCTTCTTCTTTTTGACTGTTACGATATTTGACTCATTCAATGTTACCATTTGTAGGGTGAAACATCAAGTTGAATATTTAGGTTTAAAAGAAAATATAAGAGTTCGTAGAGCTGGGTATGCATATAGGAGACCTTTCAAAAAGTTCTTACATAGGTAAGTTTTACATTTGCACTTTATTTATTTTAAAAAATTTTATTTATATTTAAAATTTTCACATCATTTGTAAGTGGAATTCAAACTTTGTGTAGTTAATTTATTACTGTATATGTTTGAAACAACAATATTTGAGAATGAGTGTTAAAAAAAGACTTGAAGTTCTTCTTTAAAAAATAAAAAAAAGGTTTCATTTTTTTAAAAAAAGAATGTAAGCTCCTGAGGCAGTGTAAAGAAGTGAAATCGGTAGTTCTCCCGTTATTAATTGCTTTTTAAGTTTTGAATTTATTATTTATTTATATATTATTATTTATTTATTTGGCAAAATGTACAGTTTATATGTTTTATGTTTTTTATTTCTGTTTTAAATTAAAAACTTAATTGAAGTGAAATTACGGTATTTGTGCTTATATTTAAACATGTATGCTTTTCTCCTGTATACTCCTAGATTTAATATATCAAACACTATCTGTTAAACAAACTTATGTTTAGCATTTTGCTGTTAAAAAAAGTCTGATTAAATAGTTAAAAAGTTTGTGATCCAGGTTAAATTTTATGGTTATGGTTGAATTTAATTGAATCTTAGCATGCATATGTATTTAAATCAATGTAAGCATTTTAATCTTATGCTAAGTAGGATAATCATACTCTTGCTTTCTTTCTGTTTATATTGAATAATTTTCATTGATGTTATTTAAAGTTGATACAGTGATTGAGGCACTGAATGAGCTGTGATTAATGGTTAGCTACAGTTTCACTCTCCAAGTGTTGAACCTCTGGGTTAAATTTTACTCAAATGTTTCAGCTATGCATTACTTTCTTATGAAATAACAGTGCTGTTATTGATGCAGGAGAGCCTGCAGCTTGGAAAGGCTGATCCACAGCGCTAAGAAAGTAATAGTTATTAAAAAGCCGCTTAATTTTGCCTAAAATGTTATGCTGGAATAATTATTTTCTGTGGGAATCATTAAAAATACAAAACTCACTTAGTTGTCTTCTTCAATATGCTTCCAAGTTGACTTGACATAAAAAATAATCATTTTTATACTAGTTTTTACAGATATTTATTAGTTTATTTTGTCAATTTTATGTAAACTTATTTTTTCCTTTTAGGTATGCCATTTTAACTAAAGAGACATGGCCTTCTTGGAATGGTGATGTTAAGCAAGGAGTTGTCCACATATTGAACAGTGTAAATATGGATAATGATAACTATCAACTTGGGAAAACCAAAATTTTTATCAAGGCCCCAGAATCGGTAAAATATAACGTTATTAATTTTACGCTCCTTGAAAATAGTTTTGACTCGCTCCTTTGTCGGTTAACTCTATAAAATCGTAATTTTTCACCCAAAACTGGCAAGTTTTTTTTTTTTTTTTGTTAAATTGGTCACGATTAAAGCTTTAAGAAATGACATTATTTGTATCCATACAAAGTTTGTGTCAACTATAGGGTTATTCCTTTATTAAGGAACATCATATTTGCAGACTTTAAAAGAATTTAATAGGGTTAAGAAACGATTCTAATAATTTATTTGAAAATGAGTCTTGGTGTGATAACGATAAAGTAAATTTATGAAGATCAAAAAAGTTACAGAATTCAATAACAGTACAGGACCCGTTGTCCGGAAATCAGAAAACCTGAAAACCCAAAAACAGGAACGAAATTCGATACATTTTCCTGCCATTTTTAAAAAAATTTTCCCTCATAAGATTTTAGGATTTTTCTTTCCTTTTTGAAAGTTGTTTACCTTACCATCATTTTGGAAATAATCATTAGTGTATTACTTCATCGTTTTTTCTTCTTTTTAAGATTATTTCCNATAGTTCGAAAGCCTACTTTAACAATAGAAAAAACGGCTTTTTGTAGCGATTCAGAAAACCGGAAAAATCAGTTATCCGGAATAGTGATGGTCCCGATCGTTCCGGATAATCGGTTCCCTACTGTACTTGGATTAATTTGTGATAATGATATGATTCCAGAAATCAAACTCCCCCTTTTTTTGCAATACAAAAAGTAATGGGATCAAAAAACAAAATTTAACAGTGTATAAAATTGTGATTTGATCAACGGTTATCTATGGATCAAACACTCGGACTGTGTCCCAAAAACATGAAAAGATGCAAATCACCTGAGAGAGAAAACATTAAGAACCAGTTTTGCTCGAATCAGAGTGGGAGATGTGTGGCAAAAAAAGATTTAATCATGAAATCCAAAACTAAATTTTAAAAAAGGACATTTATTTTACTATGTATAAAAATCTAATGATGGTGGCGCAATTTTCCATTGGTGTCCGTGCATTTTTATTGGTCGGAAAATCACGTGGTAGGATCCAGTTTTTCCTCATTGATTTACATATTGTTTGGGTTGCCATAAGCATTTAATTAATGAAAGTCATAAAGATATTGTTTTTCTATAAATATTTTTGTATCCCTAATTTAAAGTTATTTAAGCGCAGAGAGCTCGTCGCACTTTACTATACTCAATACTCAAAGTTATTTTCTTGTACTGTATTATTATTCTTTTATTTCAAGAGTTTAAAACTAAAATAATTGTTGTTGTTTTTTATAATTATTATAATGTACTTCTGCACTACTTTTTAAGATAAAGTTATTTAGAAAGGTGGTCTAATATTGTTAACTGTTTTGCTTACAATTTTGTGCAAATAACATTAATATATTGTTATAAATTAAAGATCTGTTAAATGATTTAGAACTTAACGATCAGATTCATGTACAGTAAGATGCAAGCAAAAATAGTTTTTAATATATCTGCCCTTTTGATAAGCAAAAATATTAAATTATGATTGTGAACTCATCAAATTTTTGAACAATATAATGTTATAACAAAGTAAATGTTATTTTAAAAAAATGATTACTTATAAAAATTACTTCTGTTCATCAATAGATCTAAATATTTTCAATACTAATAGATAATAATATTTGGATGTGGGAAGTGGAGGCACAAGCATAAGCGAACAGAGTTCCTTTTAGAACATATATGTAAAGTGAATAGTTTTAACTTAGGTAGAAAAACTGTTTTCTGCCAAGAAACAATCATTATTGCGAAGCAATCATCGGGGTTGCTGAGCGGCAACGAACAGGGGGTTAGCCCCTTGTAAATTGTATAAAATTAAAAAGAATCCAATGGTTGGGACACGCAGAAAGATTGGGGGACAACAGGTGCACACAAAATGTCTTTAATAGTCAATGAAAACGTCCGAGAAAGGGACAGATTGATGACATTGAGAGAGACCTCAAGACCTTGAAAATAAAAAACTATAAAGCAAAATCGCGAGGCAGGCGGGTTTAGAGTAGAATTGTTAGGGAGCACAACAAGGACTGTAGTACTAGGGAGTAAACAACACCTATTCTAATTTTTAGTTGCTTAAGAATTTAAGAAAAATAAATTTAACTTATGTAAGTTGTAATAAGTGTAAATTACTTACTTACTAACTCCCTGGACCCATAGAACTGCTCAATTTTTTTTAAAACTGAGTTACATGCTTTTAAAGTCTGAAAATGCAATGTTCCTAAATGGTGGAACTGCCCTAGAGTGCCTAGAGTATTATTATTTCATCCCTTTAAGGGACTTCTTATTTTGGTTGAAGATGTGGCCACTATCTGATTCAAATTATACTTAATAAAAATCTAAATTTACATTCAACGATTTGTACATTATTTCCTGGAAACTCAACTGTTATATTCATTCAATATTGGCCTAAATGAACATTTATATATACCACTATCAACTATACGGCTAATGACGGGGAAGCAAAGTTCTCCCCTCATCATAGTGGAACTGCCCTAGAGTAAATGAAAGGATTTTGAAACTTTGTTGTTTTTTTTTTCTCTCTCCATAATTAACTACAATATTTCATTTTCACCAGAAATAACCTTTTTAATTATATATTTTTTTCGTCAATCGGTTGTTTTTAAAATCAAGCAATCAGTATCATGCGTACTCAGCTCAAAAGATATTAGCATCAAAATATAAATTTTTTTAAATCACTTTCTTAGAAATCAACCAAGTTTTAATCTTCTATCATGCAAATTTTGTATGGTTAAGCATATCACTATTTTAAAAGGCTCTGATGATGAGGTTTTAAAATGTGTCAACTATTATGCGGAAAGTTGTGTGTCAGGTGGGAATCCTGTTACCATAGAAATCAAGCTTTTAGTGAGTCCAGATTTTTTTTTTCCAAGAGTGTCCAAGAATTTTATGATTAAAAAAATTGCTTATAGTTTTTCTAACATATTTTTTAGTTGTTTTTGCTTGAAGAAATGAGAGAAAGGAAATATGATGCCTATGCCAGAGTTATTCAGAAAGCATTTCGCCAGTACTTTGCCAAGAAGCAATACCAGAAGCTGAAAGAAGAAGGTTACTATCTCAGACTAGGCTTCTTATCTTTTCTTCCAACTAATTTTAAATTCTGCATATTTAAGTAACTATATCATTCTGGTTACTTACTAAGAAGAAAGTTTTCTTAATGTCAAGAAAACTTTATCTTTAATATCGAAATGCTTGAAAATTATTGTTATAATACAAAATTAATTTATTTTAGTAGTTGTTAAAGTGCTAATTTTTGTTGTTGTCCAAGTTTCAAAAATGTTTTTTACAAAAAATTCTTAATATATAACTTTAAAATGTTTGACTGCTTAAAAACGGCATTCAATTTTAAATCTTACTCTTGTTTTATTAACTATTATTATTGTAAATATGTAGCTATTTTGGGTCAATATTGAAACTCTTAAAATTGTTTCTCGTTTAATGCTATGTTAGAAAGCCAGAAAAAGTTTTCAAAAATTCGCAGCAAATGTTTCATTTTAAAATGTCATATAGTTTCAATGTAAAACTGTTCTATAAAAATATTTTTTGTACATTTTATAATAAATTGAAATATAAACTGTTAACAAGTAGAATAAAATTTAAACTGAACGTTTTAAAAGAATTAAATATTTTTTGCTGAACATTTAACTTAAATTTTTACCTGTGCATAAAATTAATGTTTAAGAAAACTAATTTTGCTTTTAATTACATTAAAAATAAAATGTTTGTTCCAGCATCTGATCTTTTGGTGGGTAAAAAAGAAAGACGAAGATACAGCTTGAATAGGAACTTTGTTGGGGATTATATTGGATTAGATAATAATCCTGCCCTCAGAGCTTTAATTGGAAAAAGAGAACGTATTGAATTTGCCGAAACCATCAACAAATATGACAGAAGGTTCAAAGTAAGTTAACATCTTTCTTTCTTCCCTACTTTTACTATATTCTTTCTACACATTTCTTCTTTATTGGCTCTACTTCTTAATTTCAAGAAATGGCTTCATTCCTTTGCTCAGAGTTTTCTCTGAGCATCTCTACTTTCGGCAACCACCTTCCAATTTAGTTTAGAATCTTAAGTGCTTTTAAATCTTTATACATAAATGCATTACTAATGTACAGTGCACCACAAAAACGGGCCACCCTAAACAGCTTTTGATTTAATGATCGAATGTTCATGTTCCAGGACTCATTCTTCATGGTTCAAGAGGGTGACCTCAAATGGGCTAATTAATTAGTGCAGAAGATATTATAAGTTACAAAATCAGACACAAAAACGTACTTTCTCTGCATAAACATATATTTTTTTGACCAATTTGGATTTCTGACTCCCAATATAGAAGCCGCAATCTGGAAAAAATGGTTCCAAAAGTTTGGTTAGAAGAGCAATCCTTATAAGATTCATTTTTCAAAAGATAATTCCATGCAAAAAAAAATACATTTTCATTAATATTTATTATTTTAGTTGTTAATAGTAGAGAAATTTTTTAATTGTAAAGTATCAAACTTTTTACATCATTTAAAATTACGTAATCTTGCATAGCAAAATACAAAATTTGAGCAAAATCGGTTGAAAAGTTCATGAGAAATCGAATTTCAAATGTATGACTTCTTTAAAGTTCGATTTCTCTGGAACTGTTCTACCAATTTCACTCAAATTTTTAGTTTGACGTGTAAAATTACCTACCTTAAAATGTAAGAAATTGTATACCTTACAATAATTTTTTTTTTTAATAAGTAGCTACTATACTATAAGTAATTTTTTGCATGGAATTACCTTTTGGATAAATAAATTTTATAATTGTTTGCAATAAGTAAAATTAATATTAAGGTGTCCAAACTTAGGATCGCACTCCTGACAAAACTATCACGACCATATTTCGCAGTTTGCTGCTACCCACTATATTCTGGGGTTCGGAAATCCGAATTTGTTGAGAAAAAAAGGTTTGTTTATTCAGAAAAAATATGTTTTTGTGTCTAGTTTCGTAACTTAAAATATCTTGTGTACTAAATAATTAGCATATTTAAGGTCACCCACTCGAACTATTAAGAATGAGTCCTAGAACATGAAGATCCGATCATTAGAGCAAAAGCCATTCAGGGCGGTCGATTTTTCTTGTACAACTAGACCCAAGAACAGACCAGAACTATTTATTATAATCTCTTTTTCAGAATCTTTGTTGAAAAAAACTGTAGTTATCATTTCCTTCTGATTAGCCCATTAAATTCTTTGCATCTTTATGTATATTAGTGCACATCAGTTTCTTTATATATATTTTAGGTTTGATCTCTTTCCTTAAGGACTGTTTACAATTTAAATTAATAAAAAATATTAAAATCTGAAAATAATATAAAGAAATAAATAGCTTTATTATGAATTGATGTGTATTAAAAATAAAATGTGACAGTACCTTAAACATAATTCAAAATTAATTAAATCTGACTCCTATTAATTCAAAACATTAACAATTTAATAATTAAAAATAAAGTTTACAAGAAAAAAAAATTCAAAATAAAAAGTAATATTTTTAAAAACACGTTTTAGTAGTGGATAATAATAATTAAGAAAAAAATTGAAAAACGAAAAACGTGGGGCGCATGAAATACATGTAGATGTTAACGTTTAAACTTG